CAAACATACACAAGTTTGATAGCACACTCTGTGGGCGATGCCAGGGACAGAGAGGCAGCCCTATGCCTCACTCATGTGGGTGCAAAGTGAGACACCCCTTGTGGAGGAGAATTGGACAGTATGTAATAGAATTACATGCGAATTTGTTCTTTGACCCAACAATCCCACTGTTTTGGACCTGATTTCAAAGATAATCTGGGAGAAAATACAAAATGATATATGCACAGTGCTGTTCATTGCAGCATTATGGTGTGATCATGAAAGACTAAATAATCAAATCTTGAGGTCTAGATTCCACCTGGCTAACCTCGCATTTCCTAGGCTTCCACACCAGTCCTGATATCCCAGCTCAGGCCATGGCAATATGTGGCTAATATGCACATGAGTTCACAGTGCTGTGGGCCTGATCTCACAGTAGGTAGAATTGTTTTTTGGGTCCTTTCCAGGTTTTTGCCTCCAGGGGTGGTGCCTTCTTACTGCCTTTCCCTTGCTCTGTCCATTCTAGTCCATCTTCCTAGAGAGTCCTCCTTTCCCGCGAGGGCCTTTCTGTAACACTACTTCTCCCTCTCAGGCACTGGAGAACCTCATATGGATGCTCTGATTAAGGCAAGACTGTAAGGCGTTCACCTCCCCTTCTCAGATGTTTAATCCAATAACCAACTCATCTACTAGTGGTCGTAAATTCGAACACTTATTTTCTTTTGGGTGGTAAAGTTCTGGAGAGGTTGGCCTTCTGGTATATCTTGACTTTTCTAGATGGTGCCGCTCCAAGGTAGACAAGCTAAACTGACTCTTTTCTTCAGTTTCAAATGCATTTCACCCCATCCTGCCTCCCATGTTGATATTTGAAGTTAGGATGTATCTTAAAATTGATAAGAACATGAATATAATGCTGCACTCCTCTTGAAGAGCTGTTGCAACGTAGATCGTGTTTCTTATAGTTGATGACATCTTAGCATTAGAACCCAGGTAATGTGTTCATAAGAGGGCAAAACATGTAGAATCAGCATTCTTTATTGGCAAATAGGCATACTCGATTTATTTTTCTCCTCCCCTTTTGTGCTGAGTTTGTTTTCTGTGTTACTTAGTAGAAGAGGGCCTTTGCTCAGTGATTGTGGGTTGGCACAGAGCAAGCGAATACTCAGGATTGAGAAAGGAAAATGAAAAAGTGTGAGGGTCATTTTATCCTTTTGTTAACAGTACTAATATTTATACGTATATCTTTCTTGAACTCTTAGCATTTAACATAACTAATTACTCCTATTTGAAATGCTTTCTTCTCTGCATTTCTATTACACCATGTTCCCTAGTTTTTATCCTCTAGACTTATTGGCTGCTCCTCTTCAATGTCCTTGTCTCATCTTAAATTGTCTACCAGACCTTTGAATGACCCAGTGTTGTCTTCTACCCCCATACACTCTCCGTAGGTGAACTCATCCATTCCTATAAATTCAGATATCTTCTATAGGGTTTTGATTCTCCCATTTGTGTCCCCAGCCTGAAAGACTCCCCCGAGCTTAGGTTTCATATACAAATGGCTGATCAGTATTTCTAGTTGGATATTTAATAGGGATCTCAAATATATATAGTGGTCCCATCCACCCACCCCCCCCAAAAAATCCCCTATTGGTTGTCTAGTCTCCAAATCTGATTCTTTCCAAACCCTCCCCATCTCAATAAATGGCACTACAAACAACTGATGCTCAGGCCAAAATCCTTCCCATGTGCTTAGGAATCCTACTTGATTACTATTTTTTTTTTAAAGATTTTTTTATTAGGGAATTGGGGCAGGGGAACAGCATTGGGGAATCAGGAAAGGGGAACAGACAAGTTGCTGTCGTTTTGTTCTTCAGTCTAGTTGTGGAGGACGTTGCTTCACTGGCCCAAGTTGGCACCATCATTGCGCTCTTCCCGGGCGAGGCAGATTAGTTGCGGGCTGCTGGACGGCTGCTCATGCTGGCTGCTGGCTACACACGGTAGCCCATGGCAACCCACTGCAGTAGGGGCTGCAGCCTACGCCATCGCCGGCAACCTACCCCAGCCTAGCTCCAGGTTGAGCTGTTGTTCAGCATCTTAGCTGTAGAGGCCAGTGTCACTGGCCCTCATATGTGGGATCCGAACTGGGGCCCTCTGGCGTCCCAAACCAGCTCTTAACCAGTGCGTCACTTGGCTGGCCCCTTGATTACTTCTTGCATGACTCATATTTAATCTTTCAGTGACTTCTCTTGATTCTACCTCCAAAAAAAAAAGGTCTTCCTTCTGATCTTTGCAGATTCCTTCCCATTATTTATTATTTAAGTCCCAATTCAGATTTGAACTTCTAAGGGAGACTGATTTGATCAACAAACCCCCCAATTATTCTTTGTCCATTATCTCTTTTATTGTCTTAATATTATTGACGGGTACCTGAAATTATCTTGCTTGTTTACCTGGTATTTATTTTTATCAAACTCCCTCCTTAAGACTGTAAACTCCTTGAAGGTAGAAACTCTGGTCATAGCCATATCGCAGTTACCTAGAATGGAGTCTGGCACGTAGTAAATCCTCTGTGTTTTGGTTGTTGAGTGACTGATTTATGCTTGGAACTAGAACAGTCTTTTGACAATACTAAATAAGATGTATTAACCCAAAACTGAGTTCAGAAATAATTGGATAAGAAACTGTTCATTGGAGAAGAGACATTCTCTTTTGAAGATGCTTACTAAAAAGTTAGGTAATTTTGTGGGCATTTGGGTATATCACAGGTTTCCTGTTGATTCCAACTACTAGGTGACCAGCATGGTATTCACTTTATTTTGAAAGTCAGTACGTTCCAACATGGACAAAATTCCAGACAAAGTAGAATGATTTGCCTTATTTATTGCTGAAATTCTCCTTGAGAGGGCTTTTGTTGAAATATGGTAAGAGTTGTCTGATGGCTTTAAGGAGACTGAATAGAAGAATGTGCCAGGATCCTAAGCTGGCATCTGGCACAGATAGTTCTGACTTTGGTTTTGTTTGTTTCAAATAAATCCACAATCTCTATATTTTCTTATCATTAGCTAACAGACATCCATGATTTTTTCTTATCTACATAATACATTGCTTATAGTTTTGCTTCATCTTTCAAAATTCAGCATTTGTTCAGTAAATATTTAATGAGTATCCACCATTTACGAGACACTAATAAGTGCTGGGGATATAGCTATGAATAAGGTAATGTCTCAAATTAAAATTTGTTAAATAAATTGGTGACCTTCTTGAAGCTTATTTCAGAATATTATAATAGCACGGCCTTCAGAGCTTTAGGAGGTTGGTAGACGTGCCATGTACATGTGGTCTCACACCTTATCCCTCTGTCATCTTTCTTATCGTACCTATTTGCATATTGTTTCATGTTTGATGGCTGTTGGAATGCCTATTCTGTGCCCACCACCATGTTAGGCCCTGGACATTCAGAGAGCAGCAGATAAATATGTTCTCTTCAGGATCTCTTAACTAGTAATAAAGACAGATGGAAAAATGAATTCTTTTAATACAGAATTGTCAAGTGCCAGAATAGCCTATGCACAGTCTACTCGGGGAGTTTGAAGAGGAGGCATCGAACAAATCTCCAGCTGAATCGAAAGGATGAGAAGGAGTTAGCCAGATGCACAGGCAGGTGAAGGGGTTTATGAGTTGTCATCCCATGAAGAAAAGAAATGTGTTTTAGGAATTCCAGGTGGTTTGGTGTGGCTGGAGGGAGAAAGGAATATTGAGGTTGGGGAGGTGGCGCCCCCTGGACATGCCTTAAATACCACTGTGAAATCATGGGACGAGTTCAAGAGTGCTGTGATCAGATGGCTATTAAAGGAATATCTTTCCGGTGGCGTTGTGGGGAATAGTTTGGAGGGAACTAGAAGAGGTAGATGAATACTCATCATTTCTGAGTTTGAGCAGGGAAGTGACATAACCAAATTTGTTTTACAAGAGGCCACTCTGGATGTTGGGTGGGACGCATACTATGGGGGAGTGGTAGTGGGAGGAGTGAGACAAGTTAGGTGGGATCATAGTATTCAGCTGATGTGTCGGGTAAGGAGCTTCCCTTGCCTTTTTAACATGTCAAGAATTTTTGGATCTTGCCTGTTTATAAATATTTTACCATTTTTTGTAATAAAATGTTGGGGAAAAATGCTTTTTCCAAGTTACTCAAGCTTTGATGTGCTCCCCCTCGAAGCCAGCTTCTCAGGTAGAGGTTGTACACACAGACGTCCGTCCGTATGTCCTTTTAGTTGTTCATGTCTTTTGACCTTAGCATTGTTCTTACTGAAATGCCATTGCACGTGCTGCAGTTTTCAATTTTGACTTTACTTTCCATGTGGTAATCCTATTTTAACATGTAAGTCCTTTCAGGCAGCAAGGTAATGGGAACAGCATCAAGCACTTCAGGCATTTATAAATTCATTTCAATAAACATGATGGGTTTGGATGAGTTGTTGCATTGCTCATGAGTTTATTATTATATTATGGTATATAACAATATTTAATCAAATTGTCGAGAGGAATAAAAGCCTCACTTTGAGGCAAACCTTTAACTTTTTCAAGGAAGACAAATTTTTAATAATTTTTCAAGCTCAAGAATAGTTGGTGTATGATAATGTGCTTGAAAAATATTAGCATGCAGCCCCAAAAGAGGCAATTAATTTCATATTCAGAGGTAAGACTAGGCCAGTTTCACTTTAGTTTTTGGAAATTATTAAATACTCTCAGGTATTGAAAATATAGGAAGCAAATGCTGATCCTCTTTATATTTTAAATGAAAAGATAATAGCACAGGTTATACATTTTAATATTTACTTCTCATGAATATTTCAATATTATAAAAATTACCTGCTGTATTATAACTGCCTGTTTACTTGACTATCTGCTACCTCTGTCTGCTCTCCCCCAGCAGGCCCAGTGCCCCTGAGTTAGCACTTGGATATTTCTGACTGATTAAATGTGATACCTACTTTTCTTTTCTGTATTCATCTTTTTCATAGAAAATGCCTCAGATGCAGATTTATGGCTCCTGAATAGTTGTACTGTAAAAAACCCGGCTGAGGACCACTTTAGAAACTCCATTAAGTAAGTAGAAGTTGGTTTTCTTTTTCTTATTTTTTTAAAAGTGAGGTAAGAGTTAATTTCTGGAAATTAACTTTTAAAAGATTGATACTATAAATATCCTGTATGTACCAAGCAGGTATGAAATGCACTTTTAAGATTATATTCTTTTGAATTTATCTGACAGTGAAACTTTAATGTAGACTTTTCTAAAAGGTGGCTTGAGTGTTTGTGAAGTTAGCTAACAGGGGACTTGAATATTTGTTAAGTATTAACAGTGTGCTTTTCTCGGTGAATCCAGTCCATACTTTTTGAAACTACCCAAAGCAGTCCCTACCTTTCTATCTCCTGCCCACTAGTACTGTCCTAGAGCAGGGGTCGGCAAACTTCTGAGATGTAAGAGCTGCCAGGGGTCAGCAAACTGCAGCTCGTGAGCCGCAGGCTCTGAAGTAAAATTGAAAATGAAAATAAAACTATCTTCGTTTCATTTGTAAATGTTTTTAAAGGATATTATTCACATAATTGTGATTATATAAAAATATATTTATGGCTTTTGAATAATTTCTAAATTGTTGTGAGGGACTGGATTGGCTCTTCCAGGGTTTGGCAAACTTTTGAGATGGAATGTTCCCAAAGAGCCATATGTGGCTCGCGAGCCGCAGTTTGCTCACCCCTCTTCTAGATACTATAATCCCTGGCTATCAAGGGAAATACACTTTGTTGGGGGAGATGGGCATGTTCATATCCTTGGTTCTTGCTTGTCCCCTCAAGTTAAAGTGAAAGAAGTATCTTTTATTTCACGTGCTCTGAATCTTACCCCACCCACCTTCTTAGGAACCTCATTCTATCAATTATGTACTGATTCTTCTGTGTTTCCAATTTCTCCAATTCCATTGGTGCCTTTTCATTGGTATTTAAACATGCTCAGGTCTAATCAGCCCCATGTACCTATTGAGCTACTGTCCTATTTTTCTTCTTGCCTTCCCAGCCAGACTTAAGATTCTTCACTTTCTGCCTTCACTCTCAAACTCATTCCCCTCCCCACAAATTGGTTTTATATGAAATATACAGATGCAAGATTTATGAAACCTATACAGTTTAAATAATAATAACCTTAACACCCATATGTCCACTACCCAAGAAATATGACCTTGTCAAGACCTTAGAATCCTCCTGTGTCCCTCTTCCAGTCATACCCTTAAAAATAGTACTTTTTATCCTGACTTCTGGGAGTCATTTCCTTGCTTTTATTAGTAATTAAATTTATCACCTATTAAGTATATCTCTAAACAATGTGCTGTTCAGTTTTGCCATGTTTTGGACATTGTTTATTGGACTTATACCATTTGTGTTCTGAGATTTGCTTCTTTTCCTCAGCATTATGCTGAGGAAAGTAACTCTGGCCATTTGATGCATGAGTTTGCCACGATTTATCCATTTTGTTATTGATACATTTTCAAGTTTTTCCCCAGTGTTTTGCTTGCATGAACACTGCTGCTAAGAATATTCTGAACATATTTTCTGGTGCACATGTGCAAGAGTTATTTTAGGATGTATACCTAGGAGTTGAATTATTGAGTAACAGACATGTGCATATTCAGACCAGTAGGTAATGCCAAAAACCCTTTCCCTGAATGCATGTACCAGTCAGTGTTCACTCCCTCCAGTAGTGGCTGTGCATAGTTGTTGTTTTAGTTCTTGCTCATACTTGATATGGTCAGACTTCCCAATTTTTTTTTTTATTAAAGATTTTTTTTTTAATTGGGGAATTAGGGGAGGGGAACAGCATTGGGGAATTGGGAAAGGGGAACAGACAAGTTGCTGTCCTTCTGTTCTTCAGTCTAGTTGTGGAGGATGTTGCTTCACTGGCCCATGTTGGTATTATCATTGCGCTCTTCCCGGGTGAGGCAGATTGGTCGCCGGCCATTGAACAGCCACTCATGGCTGCTCATGGCAGCTCACGCCCGCTGCCGGCCAGCCCCACTGCAGCCTACGCTGTCGCCGGCAACTCACGGCAGCCCAGCTCCAGGTCGAGCTGTTGTTCACTATCTTAGCTGTAGAGGGTGCAGCGTCACTGGTCCTAATGTAGGATCTGAACTGGGGCCCTGCTGCTCAGAGCTGGCGTACTAAGCCAACTCCTAAACAACGTGCCACTCGGCTGGCCCCCAGACTTCTAAATTTTGCCAATCTGGTGGTGGAGGTGGTTTCTCAATGTGGTTTTAATTAACATTCCCATGATTAATGATGTTGAGCATCTTTTTATGTTTGTTGGCCATTTGGATTTTCCTTTTTTGTGAAATGGCTTTTCAAATATTTTTCTTCTGTTGGATTATTTGTCTTTTTATTATTTATTTATGTGAATACATTATATGTATTATAGATACTAATCCTTACTTGTTACACATGTTGCAAATATCAATTGTGTCTTATCTTTTCACTTTCTTTGGCCATATCTTATGATGAAGATAAATTCTGGTTTAAAATTTATCAGTCTTTTCCTTTGGGCCTGTGCTCTTAATTGCTTATTAAGTTATTAAGATATTCTCCGATATTTTCTTCTAAAAGTTTTACAGTTTTTATTTCTTACATTTAGGTTTATAATCTATCTCGAGTGTTTTTTTGGTGTGGGACCAGGAAGGGCTCCTGATTTATTTTAAATTTCAAAAAAAAATTATTTTTTGTTCGAAGTAGACACCAAATTTTTCCAATATAATTTATTGTTTTGTTTCTGTTTTTTAAGAAATTGAGCATTTCTCTTTTTATCTCAGTATTACCCACTGTCATATGTTGATTATTGAGTGTCTGTCGGTGCTTGAGCCTGTCCCTGGGCTCTCTAGTTTTATTGATCTATTTGTTTATTATGGTACTTACTCTACACAGTCATAATGAGTACAGATTTAAATTAAGTCTAGCTATTTGAGGGTATAGATCAGGAGTCCATTTAGGACAGAGCTGCAGCAGTCCAGGTGCTGATGGCCTCATCTCAGGTGGTGGCATTCAGAGTTGGAAGGAAGGACTTGACTTGAGAAGGAAGAATTCTTTACACTGTCAACATTGCTGAATATGACTCCAACATCTCTGACTATGGTGAAATAGGGAATCCCAGAAAGGGAGTTCAGTTAGAGGGAAGACATGTTTTGGTTTTGAGTTTGCTGTATGTGAAGTCACAGCTAAATACTGTAATAAAACAATGGTTAACATTTGATCTTTATCCATTGTCTTCTCTGTGGTAGGCACTGTTGAAAGTGTTTTACACCAGTTGGATGTTACCTAGCTTAATTCTTGCAGTCTCTCAAATTGTAGATTTCAATTTCTAGTTTACAGATGAAGCAGCATCTGTTTTACAGATGAAGTTCTCCAAGGCTGTTCAGTTCATAAGTGGTGGAGGTGAGATTTTAACCTAGGCAGCTTGACGAGAGTTTGTACATTTAACCATTTTATTACTATGCTTCCCAGATAAAGATATCAGATAAGCAGTTGTAGAATTGAGGCAGATATCAAAGCGACCAACCTTTGTGATACAGATTTTATATTGTTTGCATAGAAATGATCGTGGAACGTGATGATCGTGGAACGTGATGGCATCCTCAACGTAGAAATTATAGAAGGAGCGTGGTGGGAGGCAGAGGAGGGTGGCAGTGGTGTGGGATGAACAGGGGAATTAGGGTCATGGTTCGGAGCGAGAGAAGGAAGAATTAAACAGTGAGCTGAGAAGATGTTTATCAGATGCTGCTCATTGTCAAAGAATGCTTTTTGTTTCATGAGAAGTCTGTCGTGTTCTTAGATTATCGATTTTTTTTTTCCTCTATAGGAAAGGTAAATACGACATGAAGGTGTTTCAGTGCTACATTTGCCCCCTAAATACAGATGGTAGAGAATTAAGTTTCTGGGATTATCAGCCTTATAATGTAATTAATGGATATGCTTCTAGACAGTTTCTAAAAGTTTAAAGTCTCAAATATAACTTGTGTCAGTGAGTTTTGTTTCATATATATATATATATATATATATATATACATACACTTATATATAATGTTTTTTGAATGTGGATCAGAATAATGATACTGTGTTTGATTGATTGAGGTAACCATATAAGAAAAGTTTGTCATTTAAATGCTACAAATCTTGTGGAGGCAAGCACAGGTTCCTTTAATGCAATATTCTGCTTGATGGAAAGAAAATTTGAAAACAGTATTATAGGTGAATAGCATATTTTAAAATGGCTTTCAAGGCTTTTGATAATTACAGCTAGTTCTTGTTAACACCGAAGCTAACATTTGAATTGTTTCCAGAATAAATATAACCCTGCAAAAAAGAACACTGACAACACCAAAATCAAGTGACATTGATACATTTAAAGACTTCCAGTGATAGATGACCTACAAGTCTTGTCAAGCATTTTGCTTTATTTAGATGCTTTCTCCCTTGTCATCACCATCTTCTAACTAAGAAAAACAAAGATGAATAGTTCATAAACTTATTATACCTTAAGGCATGCTATTCACTTGTTGTCTCTCATCCTCTGGCTCCATCCTTTCAGCCTCTTCTCTTGCATGCTTTTTTTTTTTTTTTTTTTTTTTTTCCATTATAGTGAGGCAACATTTAAATTCAGGGAGAGTCTAATAGGGTGTTTCCTCTCTCCTTGCTTTGTTGTACCGAATCCCTTATGCTCAAATTGAAAGAGTTACAAGTATGGGCTGAGCCTACTTTTTCTAATCTGGGGACCCTGCACAAATAATGATTGCCTCACTTTTCCACTTATCCCTGGGTGTTCGTCATCACTTCTGAGCATTGGCTCTTTTTTCCCTTCAAATGTATTCTTGGTATTTAATAGTTGTGTGTCTTTAATTCCTTACCACCTCATTTTATCTCTCTTGAGCCCGTAGGCAGTAGACTATCTTGTTTTAACAGGAGTAAGGAATGATAACTCTGAGGGATTTACTGTGTCTCATGGGATTAATACAACCTCATTGATTAAGATCCATGAATTGTGGGCCAGCCGAGTGGCTCAGTTGGTTAAGAGT